GCCCCTGCTCCTGCCCACCTAGCAGTTCGAAAGCACGTCAAAGTGCAAGTAGATAAATAGGTACTGCTCCGGCGGGAAGGTAAAGGGCGTTTCCGTGTGCTGCTCTCGTTCGCCAGAAGCGGCTTAGTCATGCTGGCCACATGACCCGGAAGCTGTATGCCAGCTCCCTCGGACAATAAAGCGAGATGAGCGCCGCAACCCCAGAGTCAGCCATGACTGGACCTAATGGTCAGGGGTCCCTTTACCCATTAAACAAAGTGGGTCTTTTCTTACTGAGTAAACATGTCTAGGATTGCCCTGTTTAACTACTGTTATTAAATATTTGCAATTTACTTCTGAATATACCCAATAGGGGTGGGTGTAAACATTGAAAATAACACACACATCAGCCTGAATGTGCACATACACGAACAACCTTGCCCTCAAAGTCTAAAATGGCAGAACTGGACTTACAGCAGTTTTATCTTATTTTACAGATAGAAAAGGGTTAGTCTCGTGAAATATTTTCGGCAAGTTTTCCACTCTTCTGACATTGCACCCTATCCCAGGGCCACTATTCATTTGTTTATACCTAAATACCATTGTTTTCCTCCAAGCTCCCCATTTTAATCCTTACAACAACCCTTTGAGGTAGGTTAGGCTGAGAGACAGTGGCTGGCCCAAGGTCACCCAGTGAGCTTCACAGCTGAGTGGTGATCCCTTGTCTCCCTGGTAATATTCCTACATTATCACAGGATGTGCTTTGTGTATTCAGGCAAACCACTTCCACAAAGGAAAAGGTGTGAGTCACCCTGAGTTATTATTGCATGCACGAGCATTTCGTTTTTGTTAATAATTTTTATTGTTTTGCTTTACGTACATCCATAGAAAGTATCCATCCAAAGTTCAAACTTAAGACTAAAAATACATAAAAATACATAATAACTAAATATCTTTCCCTCCACCAATTACCCATGATTATTACTCTGAATTATCAAACCTAAGCACTCTATAGTCTTTTAAGTTGACTTCCGTCCACCACCTCAATTTGAGTCATTCTTTTCTTTCCTTAACTGCCTTCTTTATATGTTTTTCATTTCTTGGTATTAACTTATTTAATTATGATAACTGTTTTGTCTTTTGCAAAAATTAATCAAAGCATAGTGAAGGTTTTATTTTAGAACAATGTTTTTCTAGGTGATTTTTATAACACTCCCAGTCCTTACTGAACCTTTGGCTTGTTCTTTTCCTAATTATTTCTGTCATTTTAGCCAGCTCCATGTATTCAAATAACTTTCTTTGTCACTCTTCCTTTGTTGGAATCTCTTCCCCCTTCCATTTTTTGGCAATAAGTATTCTTGCTGCTGTAGAGGCATATAAAAATATCCTTATAGCTTGGGGTATCTGATGATAGTAAACCCAAGCAAAATGCTTCAGCTTTTTGACGAAAGTTTGTTTGAACTTTTTTTTTTCAATTCTTCATAAATACTATCCCAAAAGTTTCTAACTTTCTTACATCCCCACCACATATGTAACATTGTTCCTTCTACCTGCTTACACCTCCAACATTTATTTCGGTTTGTTTTGTACAACTTTGCTAGTTTACTAGGTGTTAAATACCACCTGTAAAACATATTCATAATACTTTCGTTTAGTATGTAGCACGCCATAAATTTTAAATCTCTGATCCACAAATTTTCCCATGCGTCCATCTGTATCATATGCCCAAAATCTTTTGCCCATTTAATCATGACTTCTTTTAAAAGTTGACAGTTAGGGAGCCAGTGTGGTGTAGTGGTTAAGAGCGGTAGTCTCGTAATCTGGGAAACCGGGTTCGCGTCTCCGCTCCTCCACATGCAGCTGCTGGGTGACCTTGGGCCAGTCACACTTCTCTGAAGTCTCTCAGCCTCACTCACCTCACAGAGTGTTTGTTGTGGGGGAGGAAGGGAAAGGAGAATGTTAGCCACTTTGAGACTCCTTAAAGGGAGTGAAAGGCGGGATATCAAATCCAAACTCTTCTTCTTCTTTTACCTCTTCAACTTTTACTTCCCAATCAAGTAATAATCTATACATTTTGGATAACACTTTGGTTCTATTTTGTATTAATTATTTTTCTAGCTTTGAATTTTCTGTTGTGAATCCATTTTCCTTATCTAATTTAAAGGTTTCATTCAATTGATAATATTGCAGCCAGTCTGTCACATAATGCCAAATTTCTTCAAATTTCTTTAACTTCAATTGATTTGCCTCCTCTTCCAATAATTCTTTATATGTTGCCCAATTCTTTTCCACATTTTTTTTCTTTACTGAAATGGCTTCTAATGGTGAAAGCCACCAGGGGTTTTCCTGTATGTATTTATCCCATACTGCATATAGTGCTTTCCTTATTATATGGTTCAAAAAGCACCAGTGAACCTCCACCTTTCCATAGCATAAATAGGTGCACCACCCAAATCTGTTGCCCCATCCTTCCAAATCAAATAGTTCCGTATTTTGCAGAACTAACCATTCTTTTAACCAGCATAGACATGATGCCTCATAATAGATCTTCAATCTGGCAGGGCAAAACCTCCTCTTTCTTTAATGTCTATAAGTAACTTATGTTTTATTCTTTTGGCAGATGTAGTTTGATAAGTCTCTCTTCCATTCTTTGAAGCAACCTGCCCCGCCTATCACTAGGATCGCCTGAAATAGGAACAATATTTTGGGCAGCACATTCATTTTAATTGTGGAGATTCTCCCGCAAAATGAGAGCTTCAATATGTCCCATTTTAATATTTCTCTTTTAATCTCTTTCCATGTCCTTATCATTGTCTAAATTTATGTCTTTCGCAGGCATGCACGTGCATTTTGCTATATGAAAGACTGTCGACTTTTAAAAACATTTAAACAGCCATGCTGCTTATAGTAGTGTGACACTGAGAAATGCAAATAGTTAAGGTCACAGCCACACCATAGGGCTTCTCCAAAAGAATCCTGGGAAGTGTAGTTTAACCCTCATAGAGTTATTATTCATAGCACCTGTAACGAAATCTGGTTCTGCAGATTCTTTGGGGAACACCATGGTGTGGATGCGAGCATCTTGAGGCATGCCGTTGAAACAAGTTAAAGTTGCTTCATTTCTATGCATAAGGCTTCTGTTAAGACACAGGAGCAGGACCGGCAAAAGTGTTGACAACCTTATTTGAGTGAGCACATACACTCTCTGGGAAGCCTTGAACGATCAGTTTCCCTGTACACCCATATGCCATGAAACATACACGTGTGCAGTTGTCACGTGGGACAATCTATACTTGGGTGTTCTGCACGCCTAGTGCCTAAGCACAAAGTGCCACTAGTGTAAAAACTTTGTTACATCGAAAAGAAGCCCAGCGTTCCCTGAAAACTTTTTGCATGCAAATGGAAATATGGAACGTCTGAATCCAACCGACGGGGGGTAGTTTATCCTAAGCCAGTTCTTAAGAAAGGGAATAATGCCAGGAGAAAGCTGCAAGGCTAAATACATGAGAGACGCGGGTGGAACTGTGGACGCGGGTGGCGCTGTGGGTTAAACCACAGAGCCTAGGACTTGCCGATCAGAAGGTCAGCGGTTCGAATCCCCGCGACAGGGTGAGCTCCCGTTGCTCAGTCCCTGCTCCTGCCAGCCTAACAGTTTGAAAGCACATCAAAGTGCAAGAGGATAAATAGGTACCACTCCAGCGGGAAGGTAAATGGCATTTCCGTGCGCTGCTCTGGTTCACCAGGCCACATGACCCATGTGGCCAATAAAGCGAGATGACTGGACCTAATGGTCAGGAGTCCCTTTACCTTTACCTCCCTATTGCACTTAGTGGGGTTTACTTCCAAGTAAACCAGGGCAAGCTTGGAATGCACGGCTAGAATCCTATGCACAATTTTCATGGTGACTAGCAGCGCGATCTTCTCCACCTTTGCTCAGAGAAGTCCTATGGGTCCTACTCCCAGGATTGCAACCGTAAACTCCCATTAGACTCAGAGATCTTTCCGACAAAGAGGAAAGAAATAAAGATTACAATCAGGCTGCCCTGTACACAATTACGCGGGGGTTAAAATCCAGCCTCTTAAAACTGGACGCAAGCGGCATCCGACTTGAAGGGCGACTTCCTTGCTCGCGGACAGCGAGGCGCCAGCCAGCAGCCATCCCAAGCCCCGCCCATTTATGCAGATAGCCTCTCCACCGTCTTGGCTAAGGCAGCCAATCAGAGGTAGGGGGCGCGTCCGAAGCGCAGGACTTGCCCGGGCATGCGAGAGTCGCCAGATCAGCCTTTGCTTCCGGGAGCGACACGTGGGGATCTGGCTTGCTTAAGGTAAGGGGGAAATCGGCAAAAGGGTGGGGCGGGACACATCCTTAAAAGTTGGGGGTCGAGGAAGTAACTGAAGGCAAGAGAAAAAGTGGGGCTTTAGGAGGCCTTGGGAAGTTCCCAGGCCCCGTGAGGGGGTATTATAGAAGATGGTCCGCATACCTATTTTGGATTCCCTCTTAACTATTTTTAGAAGGGGGTATAATTTAAGTGAAACTGGGCTGAATCGGGGCGGGACATGTAGATTTCATAAGCTGTTCTTTAGCTGAGTAGTGGTCTGGTTGAACTTTTTCTTTTTTCGGGCCTTGATAACAGGGTTTGTTTCTCTTTTAAGTTTTCAAAATGTTACATTTATTTTTTCTTCCTTTGGGCTGATTTTAAGTGTGAGTTGCCTTGGACGGGCATTTGCCCATCAAAGCAGCCTAAAATGGTTAAAGTAAATAAATAAAACTTTTCCCCCACCCCACCCCATCCCACCTCACCATATGGGAAGGAGGAAAGTTGTGGGGGGGGCATCTAGTTCCTTATCCTGTCCTTATTTGTTTATTTATTCAATTTGTATACAATCCTTCACCCGAAGATCACAGGGCTGCTCACAAGGTAAAAATACAAAATGAGACCACACAATTCAAAATAAAACAATAACCCCCCCCTCCTCCTCACAGTAGCCAACCAGATACTAATAAGAGGAAGCTGCCTTACTGATAATACGAAGCAGGTTCATCTAGTATTGTCTGCACAGACCGGCAGCAGGAATTCAGCATCACATAATCAAGCTTACAGGTCCATTGATGCAGAAATCTGCTCCTGGTCCCCCTTCTCCCTAGCATTCTTTTTTTCAGCCATTTTAAAGGGCTGGGCAGAAATGCTTCCTGATATACTTCAGATTACTTAGGGATATGGGACGTGGGTGGCGCTGTGGGTTAAACCACAGAGCCTAGGGCGTGCCAATCAGAAGGTCGGCAGTTCGAATCCCTGCGATGGGGTGAGCTCCCGTTGCTTGGTCCCTGCACCTTCCAACCTAGCAGTTTGAAAGCACACCAAAGTGCAAGTAGATAAATAGGTACTGCTCTGGCAGGAAGGTAAACGCCGTTTCCGTGCTCTGCTCCGGTTCGCCAGAAGTGGCTTAGTCTTGCTGGCCACATGACCCGGAAGCTGTACGCCGGTTCCCTCGGCCGATAAAGCGAGATGAGCGCCGCAACCCCAGAGTCGATCACGACTGGACCTAATGGTCAGCAGTCCCTTTACCTTTTTACTTAGGGATATAGCAGTAGATTCCCATCTACCTGTTTCGCACCCCAGCTTAGGGAAGTTATCTTTATCAATTAACTTCCAAAAGCAGGGGCTGTCTTGTGGTGGCCTCAGAGTTATGTAATGCTCTCCTGTGGATAGTTCTTCTTTGGCCTCTCTCTGTAGGCACGTGAAGATTGCGCACACATACCCTCATAAGGCACTGAAAGCTAGGTTCTGTTTGTTAACATTTGTTACTCATATGTAGCTTTAATTTATTGTTTTATAATGTTTATAAATGGGTTTATTTTATGTTACATTATGAACACATTGTTGTTGAAAGGTGGACCAGATACCTTTCATGGGATCATAGAACCAGAAATATTTTTAAAATAAATATAACAATACAATAAAGTTTACTTACTATTAACATTGATTAGGATTGTCACCGTTTTTAAGATAAAGACCCAACATCAATTTAAATCATTTTCTTTTTCCTCTTTTTTTTTTTTTGCCTTTTATTGGCTTTGCTTTTTAAGATGATAAACCTGAGAGAGCTTCCACCACCCAGCAATTGTAGGCACTTTGTAAGTAAGAAATAAATATATAGAAGAATTATGTTTTTAAAAAATCTCAGGTGAGGTTTGGGGCAACTGAGGCAGGAAAAATAAACCGACCTTTCGGAAAGGATAGGGTTCAATATATTTCTGAATGATTAAAATGAGCCGGCAAGACCACTACCACCCCTTGCAGGGATTACCAGAGGTCATTGGCATGATCAAGACCATACTAGAACCCTGTGGTCCTTCTGCTGTTGTACTGGCACAACTGCCATCACCCCCAACCATTGGCTAGCTCATTGGGGCTGTTGGGAACTGTAGTACAGCCAAGATCTGGAGAGCCACAGGTACCTCATCCCTCACCTAGGACAATCTTACCAGCCTTGGTCAGCATGTCCAGGGAGTGATGTGAATTGTCTGGGGAGGAGTCCTTGGGTGAAGGCATTCTTTCCAAATGTCTTTTGCTGGACAACCTGAAAACTTTCCCTCAGGGTGGATTTGATTTAAATCAAATCGATTTAAATCACAATTTAAATCACTAGTCAGTAAGACATGGTTTAAATCAGTAAGACTCAATTTAAATCATTTTTTTATTTTTTACAGAAAGACTCATTCTTGCTGGTAATATTCTTAATATGTACAACCAGATGAAGGTTTCATTTTTGGAATAATAAATTTTTGAGAGTCTTTTTTACAGTTATATCAAAAATTACTGATTTGGTTACACTATTAGAAATACATTGACAGATAATTTTGAAATTATTGTGAGATTTAATAAGTTGACTGTTTATATTTAGGCAACTTTTCTGCTGTACTTTATTGGCAGGAGAAAAAATAATCATTAATAGCAATTTAAATGTAGTTAAATTTAGTTAACCAAAACAATAACATTATAGCATATGTATCCATGTTTGTTAACTGATGTGGTTAAACATTTTTTTTTAAAAAAAACCCTTAGAGTTTTAGCACACATGAAAAACAAATCCTTGTTTCCTGATGAATAGCCTTTCGACTATAATGAAACTTAAATAGAAAACTATCTTTAGAAATACTTTTCTTCCAAAAGCATTTTATTTTAAAAATCTAATCTAAATTTTAAAAAATCCAATTAAGAAAAAATCATTGCTTTTTATCCACCCTGTCTTATCCACCCTGCTTCCCCTGTTCCTGAGTGGAGAGGCAGGATATCACCATCCCACAAGGAGATAGCACCTTATTTGCTTTCCCCACCATGCCCCTCTCTGCCTTCTCATGTTTGGGTCAGCCTTTCCACCCAACCTCCCGTTCCCCAAGTCTCCCGAATCTTCTTCTTCTTTTTTTAAAATAACTTTTTATTCAAAATTAAAACAAAACTTTTTATCCAGAAACATATAATCCTTATTTCCCCCCTTTTTTCCTCCCTCCCCCCACAGAACCCACCCCCCGACTTCCCTCAGTTTCAGTCTTTGATTTCTCTGAGAATGCTGTTTTCTGCATGTTATACAGTTGTATAGATCCTCAAACTATTTAGCTGATTATTATCCACAAAAAGTTTGTGAATGTTTATTCGAAACCAGCCAAGGAGTCCAGTTCGCTTTGTTGCGTCTTCAAATACTTTGTAAAGGGTTCCCATTTAATCTTTAAAGTCACAGTTATCCGTGCCCCATAGCTTGTATGTCAGTTTTGCGAATTCTACATAGTCCATCAATTTTTCTTGCCATGATTCTTTAGTTGGGGTTTCTTCTTTCGTCAGGATGCCGTCTACCACCAGCTGCTCGCCAGGTGGGATAACTCCGGCGCAAGTGGTCCAGGTGGGTAACTTGGGGATGGAAGATGAGCAGGACCTTGGGTGCCTCTGCCCTAAATGGGGTCCGGGCCACGACAAAGGTTCCCGGGATGCCGAAACCTCCGGCCAGAAGAAAAAGAAGAGCCGCCGATACCAGCGGTTTATGGCGCGGAGGGCAGTGGAGCAGAGAGGACTGCAGGGAAAGCCCCTGCCGACGACTTCAGGCAGCTCAGAAATGGGTGGTGCGCTGAGATCCTTGCGCTGTGAAGTCAGCCCTTGCGGCCAGTTGTTCCAGGAGGATCTAGCAGGGGCTCCTAGGGAACCTTGCCTGCTCTGTCCGGTTGCGCCAGCCGCTTCAGTGAACCCAGGCAGGTGGCCGACATCTTCCCAAAGTCTCAAGGATCAAGTAGCCTCCCCTGGCGGGAAGGGCGCCGGTTCCTTATCCCGCCCGACGCCCAGGAAATGTGTGGCGCTTGACTGCGAAATGGTGGGCACGGGCCCTGCTGGGAGGACCAGCGAGTTGGCGCGGTGCACAGTCGTGAACTACGACGGGGACGTCATCTACGACAAATACGTCCGGCCGGAGCTCCCGATTGTCGACTACAGGACTCGGTGGAGCGGGATCACGTGGCGACACATGGAAAAGGCCACTCCTTTTAAGGTTGCAAGGAGCGAGGTAAGCAAAGGAGGGAGAAGAGGGGTTGAGGATTGGAATCCGTGCAGCTGGAGAATTAGATGCTTGCTGCAGAATTAGTGTGGTCTAGTGGCGAGAGGGTCAGACTAGGACCCAGGAGACGGGGGTCAAATCCATGAAATTCCATGAAGGCTGTTGCTGCTGCTTCTTCTTTGACAAAAATTGCAAACTGATGTGGAAAATGTAGAGAACTGAACTTCTAAGATTTGAAAAATGAGAAACTAAGAACCAGTGTGGTATAGTGGTTAGAGTGTTGGGCTAAGACCTAGGAAGCCAGGGGTTAGATCCCTGCTTGGCTGTGAAGTTCACTGGGTGATCTTGGACCAGTCACTGCCCCTCAGCCTAATTTACCTCACAGGGTTGTTGTAGGGATTAAATGAGATATTAATAATAATAATTTATTGTTTATACCCCGGCTATCTGGCTGGGTTTCCCCAGACACTCTGGGTGGCTCCCAATAGAATATTATTATTAATAATAAAAAAGTGAACATCAAACATTAAAAACTTCCCTAAACAGGGAATAAAAGTCTGATAGTTGTTTATTTCTTTGACATCTGATGGGAGGGTGTTCCGCAGGGCGGGTGCCACTACCGAGAAGGCCCTCTGCCTGGTTCCCTGCAACCTCACTTCTCGCAGGGAGGGAACCGCCAAAATGCCCTCGGAGCTGGACCTCAGTGTCCGGGCTGAATGATGGGGGTGGAGACGCTCCTTCAAGTATACTGGGCCGAGGAGGGAACCATGTATGCCAGCTTGAGCTCCTTGGAGGAAACAGGGAGATATAAATGCAACTAAATAAATAATGTTATCACTACTAATAAGCACCTGTATTCCTTAGATACTGCACTGTACATTTAAGAAGAAGGAACGATCATGTCCGCCAGCTTGCAGTAGCCTAGAAGGATTCGGAAAAGCACAAGCCGGTTTTAGGAACATAGGAAGCTGCTGAAAAATGAGTCGGACCGTCGGTCCATCTAGCTCAGTATTGTTTGCACTGGTTGTCAGAGGGTTTCAGGCAAGGGGCATTTCCAGCCCTACCTGGAGCTGCAGGCACCTTCTGTGTGCACCCTTAAACTGTAGTTCCTGGACTCTTTAAACATTGGTATGATACTGCTTTCAATGTCTCGTGCAGGTGGGGCCCATCTCCCACTTCATCCCTTATTCCCAACATGCACACACCTGCACCTGACGTTCAAGAGACCCTCCAAAATGACATGGGGTGTTTGGACCGGGACTCCAGTGTGTGATCTGCAATAATCTTGTGGGCTCTTGCCCAATCGCACCTTTTGCAACTACTTCAAACCTTCGGTTTCCCCGCAACACTGACACCTCTGGATTTTTTTGTCGGTCACCCTAATTTGGCTCCACTTCTCTTGGCACTCAGCACCTGAGTTTGCTATTAAAGAGAGTGATACATTTTAACCTTCCTACTTTATTGCGTCCTTCAAAATTACAATCGAGATAATTTAAAAGCTCGTAATGCTCCCCTCACCCTTGTCGCTCGTTCTTTGAAGGCTAATGGTGCCTAGGTTAATTAGTACATCATTACCAGTTCGTTTCAAGTCTCTGAATAAAAGCCTTTTAATGTTGCATTTGATTGGCTTACCACATTTCAC